AGCATAAGGTATGGAAGCCCGTTTCCGCCACTGAAAAAAAAAAAAAAAAAAAAAAGGTAATCTTGATTATTTTTTATCAATTTGCAGAGCAACGTTGCTTACTTTTTTGCCTTGAGCTAGCATTTTAGACCATACTGTCATCATTTTACAACAGACAGGTCATCAACCCTTTTTCCATTTTGCCCCATTTTGCCCCATTTGTTACCTGTATGCACTTCTGATTTGAACCTGTTGGCTGAAACTGGCCACTGCAGCACTGATTTGTGCTGTTTTTGGTGAGGATTTAGCATACCACAATATCTAAGTCACTGTGTTAACTTTGAAGCCTTTTTGTACAACATGGTGCAGTGTGATCAAGGGCTTAAACTGATTAAGTGCCTACACATTGATATGCTAAATTATGTAAAAAAAAAAAATGTTGAGCTGATTGTAACTGGCATGACCTTAGATGACTTTAAAGGGAAGAATTTTGGCTACTTTGCATTTGTCTAGTGCAAGTGACCAAATTGTATCTTACTTTTGAAATGTCTCCGAATACATTTCGTTATCAGTTGTGGTCCACTGTCGGTGTGAAATTAGGTGCTTAATAATGTGTGTATAAATAGTGTTTTCTTTGTAGTTGTTTAGCATGTGTGTTTTCAGCATTATGCAGATCATGGTGATGTGTGGTTCTGACTTTGTCACAGGTCAAATCTAGGGTGACCATACATCCTCTTTTTCCTGGACATATTCTCGCTGGGTTTCTAAATTGTCCAGGCTTTGGCTTTGTTTTCCTATTGACATGCTGTCTAGTCCTCATGCATTTTATGTACACGTATTTGCATTGTTTTGACCATACTCCGTAGATCCCTGCTTCTTGTATGCCACGACTAATCGATTATGTACAATGCCTGCGTGCTATTGGTCTGATTTCTTTTCAGTCATTACCTTCAGCAAGTACAAAAACAGTAGGAAAATCCAAAACCTGGACATTTTAGGCAATTTAGAAATCCCGGCCAGGACATGTTTGTGGAAAAAGGCAGCGTACGGTCACCCTAGTTAAAAGTCAGCTTTTGGAAGTTTTCTCAAACATGATGCCAAGTGACTTAAACTAAGCTTGTTTAAACCAATTTTAGTTAGGCATGGGCCAGTTTGAGGTGTGTGTGTTTTGGTGAAAGATCAATAACTGGATTATGTATGTCTTGATGCCTTTTGGATGTGTATGTCGTGTAGCAATGCTTTAGAACTTCCCAGTAAGACCCGTGTTGGTGCTGTTACATGTAATTGTAAAATGATGGTCCATGTGTAATTCAGAGGTGCAGTATTGCGTCATAAGGAATAACTCCCTCAGGTCTTCTCAACACCAGCAGGCCTCATAGGACCGTGATCTTTAAGGTCACACTTGATTATTTTTATTCAATTCTTTGTGAACAGAATATACTATATATTTGTACCCTTGAAATTGCCCTTAATACCTCTTCTTCTTTTTTTCCCGTTGAATGGGTTTTTCAAAACCCTGATGTCTTTTGGTGCTAAATGAAATGCTAATGATGTATGTAGATATAGAATGTTTTCCTGAACTGATGATTGACAAGACAAGTTTTGTTTTAATATCTTTTGATATTTTGCATAGTCTGTTTACCTAGCTTTAATATTCCATGCTTGTACTAATATCAGTGATGAAAAATAAATTGCACCAACCTTTTTTTATCTGTCTTTTTCAGTTTATTTTTTTAATTTAAGTGTTTTATCAACCCACAAAACTAAACATTCAGTCCTTCAGACTAATGTGTCAGATTTCTCCTTGCTTTGACTTCATATTTTCCTAATAGATTGCTGGTTTAGTACTGTTCTAAGAAGCGAGAGGTGAATTACTCAAATACTTTAAAATTTTGCTTAATAAAAAATAATATTTAATAGATGAGATAAGGTAATAGAATAAGTAACTCACAAGATGTTAATAGAAACATAACAGTAATAGAAAATGGAAAATAACTGTGGTGGAAAACCTTTTAAACTGTGATGCTCTGGCTTAGAAGAGTCCAGGGAATTAGAAATCATTTTTAATAGCTTATAGTGACTTTTAAGAGTATCACACACATATTAGTAGATTAAGTTAGATTAGTAAAAATATAAATAACAAATGTAATGTTTGGAATTTGCATATTTTTATGTTATTACATTTATCAAAACTTTAAACTTAAATTTTTGTTTTATGCGTTTAATGGCGACGTTTATTTTGTTGTTTATTACTTTTATTTTGACCGATTGAAGTAGTTAACAAACTGTTTATGATGACTTTTATTTTGACATCTGTGAATAGTTTGTAAGCACCTGTGGTTTCAGGCTTACAGCCTATTTTCCAGCCTGCTGAGGAAGCGGCACTTTACGAGCGGCACGCCGGTGAATCTGCAGCCCGTTTCACTCGCGTCCCATCATAGTTTGGACTTTCAGAACCAAATGTAAGATAAAGGCGTTGATTTGATTGATTTGAACACAGACACTTTACTTTACAGAAAAAACAATACTTTATTGGTAGTTTTGGACTACACATGTCATCTAATGTTATGATTTAAATGTTCAGTATTTAAAAACACAACGGTTACAATATATAAGTTCAGCATGAACTGTTTATATGAATACACTATTAAAAATTCTGACAGATTAGTTGAAAACTTTAACTGACGTTAAAGAGGAACGTTAACGTTAAAACGGAAACCTAACATTTAAAAAAAATAAATATCATATTTTAATCCCGTAAGTACTCGATTCAGACCTTAAACTCTTAGATGGATATAAATATACAGCCACACATTGAAGTGCCATTAAGTAGGAAGTAAAAATGATGATGTAGATGGGCTGAAGGGTGTGAATGTGTGTTTAAGGAAATGAGGCTGTAACTCTTTTTTTTTTCTTTTTTCCCCACACCCTCTCTCTCCAGCAGCTTCAGCGGAAAAGTGTCTTCGGCTTTAAAGCATCGCTTTTGTCCCAGCCATGGCTGTGAACGTGTACTCCACATCAGTGACAAGTGAAAACCTCAGCCGCCATGACATGCTCACATGGATAAACGAGTCTTTACAGATGAACCATGCCAAGATCGAGCAACTGTGCTCAGGTCAGTGACCAGCTGTCTGTCCTCTTCACTTAACACACCCAACTTGAGCACCATTAAATTGCTGACAGAGTTTTAAGAGTTAAACATAAAGCCTAATTTGCATTTTGACCATAAAGATTATATATAATAATAGTGGGTCCTGGATTGACTGCCATTTGCATGCTAATTTTTTCAATATCTTATTCCGGGTCAGCGGTTAGCACATTTTAGTGAGGGAATAGACAAAGATAGTACAGTGCAGGAAGAATGAAAGTGTTTTTTGTGTAGGTTGGGACCTGTGTGACTTTTTTTCTACTTTTAATGATTTTGTTATTTTATTTTATTATTTGCTGACTGTGTCTTTATTAATGTGTTTTAAGGTGCTGCTTACTGTCATTTCATGGACATGCTGTTCCCATCATGTATTCCACTGAAGAAAGTCAAATTCCAGGCCAAACTTGAGCACGAATACATCCATAACTTCAAACTCCTTCAAGGCAGCTTCAAAAAGATGGGAGTTAGCAAAGTATGTCAACCAGTTAAATTCATTAGCACACAAATCACATGTTCCATTTTGCTACGCAAAATATATTTATAATGTACAAAAAATATATTTATATGTGAAGTGTAACTACTTTTTTTACTTGCTATTTTGAAACATTTTATGTCTCTGTGCAGATTATTCCTGTTGACAAGCTTGTGAAGGGCAAGTTCCAGGATAACTTTGAGTTTGTGCAATGGTTTAAGAAGTTCTTCGATGCAAATTATGATGGAAAGGAATATGATCCGATGGCAGCTCGGCAGGGACAAGAAATGCCAACCAGTCAGAGTCCAGCAGCAGCTACAGCTAACAAGCCAAAGAAACCCAGCTCAGGTAAAGAGAAAAAACCAACAGGAAGTTCTCAATACCATTGCAGCCTTTCTAAGGTTTATCCTAATGGGAAAAGAGCATAACATAAATCTCCTACTAATATTTATATAATGGTTTATCATTGTTATAAATAATTATCAACATATCAGTCTTTCTGGGTTTATATAGTCCTAGTTCATATAGGGACTTGCGTTATTGTCGGAAGCTAGCTGTCCTAATTCTAACAGGTGCATGACAGCTGCAGCTGTTATGGATTATGACCCCAAAATATGTGGGTGTGACCCAGTCGTACATGCTTTAGCTGTTTTTACATGTTTGAGAATAACTGGAGCCTTACGTTGCCTGTGCATGGATTTGTCTCTTCGCTTCAGACACAGGCATCACACCTGCAGTCAAGCCAATGGCCCCTGTTGGTAAGAAATTGAGAACTGTGAGTTTTAGTTCAAGCACATTGTCTACAAGGTTGCTTCACCGCATTTTTCTTACATTATGGTGATTCCTACATTTCCAAGTACTGCACATTTTTAAAAGAGCAGTCATGCAGTTCTCTTTTGGGTCTATGGCACTTGTTGGTGGAATTAACAAAAATATATGTAATTCTTTGCTTATGCTCATCTGAGCAGATAAATGACCTGAAGGCTACTATTGCTGACATGGAAAAGGAAAGGGATTTCTACTTTGGCAAACTGAGAAACATTGAGCTCATCTGCCAAGAGAAAGAGGGTGAGGGTGATCCTACACTGCAAAGGATTGTGGATATTCTGTACGCCACAGACGTAAGTGTATATCAGTGTTTAAAGACAGTCTCATACTAAACTGTCTTCAGCCCGCTGAGTTCTGTGGTTTTCTGTTTTTAAACAGGATGGTTTTGTAATTCCCGAGGATGAGGTGGGCGAACCAGAAGAGTTTTGACCAATACAGGGGTGACTGTCTTAAAAAAAAAAAATACCCTGCTGGATACACACAAATGTTCATACTGGCTGATTCCTGCTGATCTGCTGCACTTGCCTTTGGTCCATCATTTTGGACTTTGACTTTTGAATGTCTTTTTATTCAGGGAAGTTCTATATACCTTGAATTTTCAGCTTTTTTTACTGACCATCAAAACAAAATTATTTTTGTGAATGGAAAATAAAGTACTTATCAACCTTGTTGGTGATATTTTAAAAAAAAAAAAAAAAAGTATTATTTTTAAGTTTATTTTTTTATTTCAGCTTCAATATATGAAATGAAACCATTTAATAATTTATTCAATTAGTCAATTTGAAGCTAGAATAATTGACCCTTATCCTCAAGGCAGGTTGATGAGTATGTATAGCAAGGTGATGGATGTGGTCTTGATGTTCAGCTCCACAGCGTTCAGCCACAGCAACTAAATCTGCACCAAAGGCAGCTCCAGCTGCAACGCGAGGCGCAGGAACAGGCGGCGGCGATGAAGAGAAAGGAGCACTTACTCAGACGGTAAGACTTTACAAGAAATGTCATCATTTTGGACTTTGACTTTTGAATGTCTTTTTATTCAGGGAAGTTCTATATACCTTGAATTTTCAGCTTTTTTTACTGACCATCAAAACAAAATTATTTTTGTGAATGGAAAATAAAGTACTTATCAAAGGCTGTTTGTATAAAGCAGTCCAATGAGGTCTGACTTGCCAATGACTAAACAAATCCAAGGTATTGTATTCAAACATGAGCAAGCCATTCTGATCCATTCATTCTGTAGTTAAAAAAAACAGATTGTGAGTGAAGTTCACTTCCTCTAATAAGCTCTGAAGCAGGATGTGTGTAATCTTTTGCATTTCCCTTTTCCAAGCACACAAGACCATGAGGAACCACTTGACAGTCATAAGACTGTTTTAACTGGCCAAAGCTGTTGAGCTGCAAATACCACCATCATCAGGCAGTTGTTGATGCTAAATATGAGAAAGTTAGGCAGTTGTTTTTTTGTTTGTTTGTTTTTTTGCATGCTTTATTTTACATTTGGCATCCCACATTTGCGATGTATTAAAATCATATACTGCAATGAAGAAAAAAGAATATATATATATATATATATATATATACACTTAATGTGTGACTTTTGCATACAAGCAAAATGTGTTGTAAATCGGTCAACATTTTATAATTGGGAAACATTAATCATTTTTCCCATGGTTTTGACTTTACCGAAGTACCTGTTACTGAAGAAAACTTTTCAGTAACGTTAGCTTAAATCGTGTTTAGGCCATGGTTTAGGCCATAGACTATCGTGCAAAAAAGTTTCACTTCCAAAATGGCACGTATAAGCCCTTTGAACGCAGCGTTGCATTTTATTTAAATTACTAGCACGTGCTTATTTAGTAAATGTAAATATTTTTTTTTTATTAGGAAAAGTTCAATTTTAAGTCATCCTGCCTTTCTCCCTTTATGTCTACCAAAGTGTCTACGAAGTACATCTGGCGCTCGACTTCCGGATGTCTCCAACCAGTCTTCCGATCACTGATTTTAATATAAAAGTCCCTTACTCAAACGCACTACAGGTCGTTTTTTAACTTTTGTATTTTACACACACATAAATATTTTTACATATGATTACATATGTGTTGTATTACATACAACATATAATTATTGCTGTTAAAAGCGTTCATCGTCTGTTTGATTATGTCATTAACTGAATTTTACCATACATTTCTGCCATATGTACATCAATTTGACATAGTCACCACTGATAAGCTACTACTAAATACATTGTAGAAACGTAATTTTCTGTAAAGCTGCTTTGCAACGATTTGTCGTGAAAAGCGATATACAAGTAAACTTGAATTGAATTATACAGTGGTGTACACCCCTAGCACCCCTGCACCCTCAGCACCCCTAGTTCCCGTGGCCATGGTGGGAAGATAGACTTGGCCCCCTACCTGTCACCCTACTGCTGCGTACCCTTGGTGACGTTGCAAAGGGATCTCATTATAATATTGCCGCCCCTTAATCTGTAAGTTTCCATCCATGGCCCCATCATTTTGATTTCGCAAGCGACAACAACAGTGTAACAACGGACAAGAACCGAATTAGCCAGATCCTGATTAGCGTGATGATATCATCTTGGATGTGACATTTCATCTTGGATGTAATAAGTGACGTACGAAGAACGGGGCCCCAGCACAGAACACTATTTAGAACTAAAATAAACATGTGATTTATTTCCTAGCAGTTTACCTTCACAGACATAACCGACTGTTTTTGTAACTTGTGTGTTTTT